GCCGCCGCGGCTGCGCCCAGCCCAACTCCTCCTCTTCGCAGGAGCGCGCCTCGGACCCGGGGGACGGCTTCTTCCTGAACCGGATCTTCACTCGAAGGCCTCCAGTCTTCTCGGCCTCTTCTGCTGCTTCCTCCTCCTCCTGCTCCTCCTCTGGGTGAGCGGGGCCTGCTGCCGCCGGGCTTCCCACCGAGGGCTGCGATGCGGGCGGCAGGCTCTCCTCGCCCGGGTCCTGGCCGCAGTACCTGTCCGCGATCCGCGAATGTGTGGCCAGGGTGGCGAGTGGTCGGCAGGCCGAGAGCGGTTCATCCCCGGCCCAGGTGGTGGCAGCCGGGCTTGGAGAGTGCGCTCGAAAGAGCTGCTCCTCCTGATCGGGCTCCGGTGGAGAGACCGAGGATCTGGTTGGGGGCCCCGTGGAGGTTTCTGTTGTTTCCGACCTCTCTCTCTCAGGGAGGTCTGTCGAGTCCACCGAAGCCCTCCCCCTCGAGTCTCCCGAATGATGTCCAGCCCGCTGAGCCTTCTTCAGCTGACACTCCAGGGCGTGCTGGATCAGAAGCAGGTCATGGTACTTTCTCCCCATTTCGTCGACCTGCTTCAGGAGGGTGTCCCTCTTGTTCTCCAGGATGTGGAGGGCCTTCTGGAAGTAGAGGCGCTGGCTGCTGAGCTCTCGGGTCATCTCCAGTTTCATGTGCCGGTACTTGGTCTCCAGGGACATGTTCTCCTGATGCTGGAGAAGCAAGGCCTTGTTGAGGTTCTCCACCACAGCAGACATGTACCGGATGGCCTGCACCTCCCCCTTGTTGAACGTGGTGGAGTCCAGCAGCTCCTGCAGCATGGACCGCACCTCGGAGACCCTTGTGCAGGTGGTTTGCTTGTCCTGAAGCATCTGCTCCGGGCTCGGTGGCTGAGGCTCTGGAGGAGATGCTTGTGGGCTCTTCTCCTGCCAGCCCTGCCAGAGGGTTCGTTTGGACACTGGGAGGGATGGAGAGAAGAAAGGCAACCAATCCCATGAAGCCCTAGGATTCTCAAGAACCTGCTTGGGCAGCATTCCCATCCCCAGTCTCTTAGGGGGTTGGCAAGCATACGGAGCTGGGGCAGTACTGAGGCCAGGGAGGTGTTGGCCAGGCCCAGAGAGTCCCAGGCGGTCTTCGGAAACCACTTGGGCTCTGCCAGCTTCCCAGAACCGCAAGGCCTGAGGGGGCCTGGGACTAGCAACCCTGTTCCATTCCATTCGACATCTTCTGATTTGCCAGATCACCCTGATATTAGTTCTCTTTCTGGACCAGGCCGCGAGCCCGCCTCAACATCTTTGTTTGGCTCCCTATTGCCAGTATCCAAAGTCTGGAAGCCCACCTGATCCTCAACACTCTGGAGGACTGGGGAAGCTTCATTTGCCTTTCCTGTTACCATTGGATTGGAGTTTATGGAGAATTTATCATGGAATCCTTTAACAAATTGCTTTTTTTTTTTTTTTAATTAGTCACATTCCACCTCCCACCTCTACCAGGCTGCAATGGGACAAGTTCTGGACCCCTTCAATACACAGAAGCAGCTGGCCCTTCCCCCAGGAAGATGTGCATAGACACAGACTGCACAGCCTGCATTCAAACCCATCCATCAACCTGAGCTCCTCGAGTGCAGAATCTCGCTCATTTGTGCTGCACGGCCTTGGCTGTACATGTGCGGTGCTGGTGGAGTCCTGATCTTAGAGCACCCATTCAATGCCCGTTCCACAAACACCCCTGGCAGTAAACACCATGGCTAATTTGGGAGGTGGAACCAAAGGAAGTGTGCATCCTAAGATACATTTAAGCTATCAGGGGGACCATGGGTCCCAGCAGTTAAGAGTTTGGATCCTCAATCAGGCAGCTGGGGCTGCATCCCATCCTTCCCTCTTGCCTTGGGCAAATCTTCAAACTTCTCAGTGCCTGGGTTTCCTCATCGGGAAACCCGGGACGAATCATGACATTGGCTGCATAGGGCTTAATAGGGCATGCGCGAATTCCAGTGTCAAGCATGGTACCAAGTACCAGTAAGTGCTCCACAAACCATCCCTCAAAGGAAAGGGCTGTAGTACAAGCTTCACCCTTGGGGAATTTATAATCCAACAAGGAGATAAGCCATCGACACAAACAGCCAAATCCTAAAACATAATTTGCAAGGATTATTGAAGAAATTGTCTCCTTCTCATCTACTTCTCCCTGCCTTTACCCTGCCCTCCACCCAAGCAGATCTTTTGTGACTAATGTTGAACCTCACTGGTAAGAATCAGAATGGGAAACACTAACATTAAAATATACATATTTTAAATATATGTCAAAAACTCACCTCACTGCCATTGCGTCCATGGGAATGCATAGAGACCCTATAAGGCAGAGTTGAACTGCCCCTGTGAGTTTTCAAGGCTGTAAATCCTTACAGGAGCTGATAGCCTCATCTTTCTTCCATGGAGCGATTGGTGGGGTCAAACTGCTGTCCTCATGATTAACAGCTCAACTTGTAACCCACTACACTGCCAAGGCTCCTTACATAAGCATTAACTGATGCTTATTAAGCAGCCTTGAACGTGTGCCAAGGATGGTGCCTGACACCGGCCTCCTTATTTTACATACGAGGAAAGTGAGGCTCAGAGAGATGAAGGAATGTTCCCAAAGTCACATAGGCAGTAATTGGCAGAGAGGGGATACAAACGCATGTCTGTCTGACTGAAACCCATGCTCTTGAGTACGACTAAGAAGCCCGAAAGCCAACATGTAGGATCGTTTTCTTTGTTGTCCACTCTCTAACCTTCTGTTTTCTCATCTGCAAAATGTAGGTGTTGGCTAGCTGCAGATCCTTCCTTGGGCTGACAGAAGTGAAGTCAGTCATGCTGACTTTGGATGAGTCACAATCTAGAAGGTTCTGGACGGCTGTCTGACTGAACCTCAGCTGACTTCTTGGGTTTGGAGTGAAGAAAGAACGTTTCTTAGGTTCTAGCTGCAAACTGTTCTAGCTTTATTCCCCAGAACTCCATGAGACCATATAGCTCCCGGGAGCCCATGCAGGGACCTGCCTCCATAGGCCAGCACTGCTTGGTGCTGACGCCCTTTCACCACCCAGACATCTCACAGAAAGCTTTGGTTATGGAGACAAGTTGGAGGGACTCCGCCAGACCCAGCGTGTGGCTTCCTCCCTGAGAGCAGCCGCCCTCCCCTCCCCAAGCCCTTTCCCAGGGACTCCTAGCACCTACTTTGTGTCTTTTTCTTTTGTTCTTCAATCAGAGTGGAGCAGAGGGAGATGAGAGACTCGATCCCTCCCTTGGTGGCCATGAGGGAGAGAGGCAGGACCCTCTCCATCACCTCGATCCACTCGTCCAGGGCTTCCTCTTCCTTCTCGCTCTTCCTGTTCCTGATCTCAAAGGTCAGACTGTCACCTGGAGAAGGAGTTGGAGGTTCAGATGGAGAACACTGCTCTCTTGGCAGCTGTATACCACAGGGGTGGTGCCACCAGGCTTTGAGATTGGGGCAGGCGTCACCTCTTCTGAACTGTGTGGCTTCGGGCATACGATATCGCTGCCTGCACCCCAGTCTCCTTGCCTGGGTGAGGACGAAGTGAGATAACATGTGAAACAATCATTATGAGGTCTGCTGTGTATAAGATGTACTGCAGACATTAAATATGCCCGGATGACGCAATTAAGCTGTTGGCTGCTAACCAAAAGGTGAGTGGTTTGAACCCACTCAGTGTCTGCAAAGGAGAGAGACCTGACAATCTCTGCCCGAGAAGATAATCGCTAAGAAACCCCTCTGGGATCATCCCACACTGTCACAGGGCGTCTTGGTGAGTCAGCATCAACCCAATGACATGTAACACCACCGCGGTTCCTGCTTCCCCCACTGCCTCCTCCCATGAGCTGACCGATTCATGAGATCACTGAGGTCCTCAGTCCTGCCTCGTTCCTAGGAGCAGGCAGGGAGCACTGAACTGAGAGCTTCCTGAGGACAGTGCGGTGTGGGGATGGCTGGGGTCCACCCCAAAGCCGCTTCCTCCACCCCGTAGCACACACCCCCCCACCCCCACCCCACCCCCCGCCCATAGTGGGATGACTCTAGTCAGACGAGGTGAGTGCATACTCAAAGAACAATTGGTTTTTATGACATAGCCCTACTTGACACGTGCCCACATAAAGAGGTCACTGAAGATATAGGTGCTCTGGCCAAGCCTGGTGAAGAAACCGGATGATGCCCGGCTATCAGTAAGAATAGTGTCTGGAGTCTTAAAGGGTTGTCTTAAAACAAGTAGCCATCTTGGTGAAGTGTCCACTTAGGGTAGATGGAAGAAGCACACTGGCATGTGTGATCTAAGGATTACAAACGATATAATCCAAATCCAAAGAAGGAAATAGTGTTAGAGCTTAAATTGTGGACACCTGGTTTTCAGAAGACTATTGATGATAATGGAAGGCCAGATCCATTTGCAGGGTCCCCACATGGATTAAGCCTCTTGTGAGTCCCCTCTGAACAGAGTCCAGGAATATGAATAGCCTTGCTATCATCAGACAGAGAGCATTATAAAGCCAATTATGACAAATGTAGTTAGGGTGAGATGTAATACTTTATCATTGAGATCCCCTTTGATCCATTTTAAAGTGGCTTCAGTTTTTAATATTTTCTGCTCTCTTTTCAATTGAGGTTTTTCCTTTGTTTTGTCTAGTCATTGTTGTTGGGTTTTGTTTGATTGCTTGCTGTCTATAAACACAGTAACTCGATTAATAATCACCTGGGGGCATGGCAGGAGAGGATGGGGGGATGGGAATGGAGTGCTAACTGAGTATGAGAAGAAAATGTTCTCAAATTGATTGTGGTGTTGAGTGCGCAACTCAATGTGACTGAATGACTAAACTGTTTGATATGTAAGCTATGTGCCGGTAAAACTATTAAGAAGGAGAAAAGTAATAGGTGGGTGCCGTGGCCCAGGCTGGCTGCATGCCTCTCTGGCTGCAGGAGCTATTGCTCACAGCAAGCCTCAGGAAGTTATGGTCATTCAGTGCTTTGAATATCAACTTTGAGATCCTCTATAAAATAGCTAAGGAGCCCTTGTGACACAGAGGGGTAAGCACTGGGCTGCTAAGCACAAGGTCCATGGTGCAAACCCACCAGTCGCTCTGCAGGAGAAAGACCAGGCCGTTTCGGGTGACGAGGGCTTGGGATGGGCCGTGGGCTTTGACTTTGGAAAGTAGCTGGTGTCGTTTTGCATCTCATTTTTATCTTGCTAACAAAAACAACAAAAGTCCCCGGTGGTGCAACTGGTTTTGCTCTCAACTCTGACCCTCAAGGTTGGCGGGTCTAACCCACCCCCAGGCCCGCAGAAGAGAGGCCTACTGATCGGCTTCTGTAAAGCTTTCACTTGGGAAAACCCTAGAAAGAGAAAGCCCAAGGAGGGCAGTTCTCCTCTGTGACACATGAGGTCACCGTGAGTCAGCATCGACTTGGGGGCAACACATTTGGGTTTTGTTGGGTTTTGCGAAGAAGGTCAGGGGTCAAGGGGAAATGCTATGGTTCGGTGCGGTCAAGTCGGTTCCGACCCACAGCCACCTGATACACCACAGAAAGAAAGCTGCCTCGGCCTGCATTGTCCTCACAGGTGTTCCTGGGCCTGAGCCCAGGGTGGCAGCCATGGTGTCCCTCCATCTCCTTGAGGGCGGGCCTCTGGGGAGCCCCTGTGACCAGGGCTGGCTGTGATAGCCGTGCTGTCAGGCAGAGCGCATTGGAAAGGGGAAGACTGCAGAGGCAATTAGGGTAGTGCTTAACACCTTATCACTTGATCTCCCTTCTGATCTACTTGAAATGTGTTTCGTTGTTAAGACTTTCTTTTCTACCGAGGTTTTTATCTTTTTACATGCGTATTGTTGTTCATTCTGCTTGTTTGTTTTTAAAGGTTTTCGGCATAGGAAATCCAGGCTAGGTAAATCAAGAGGCGGTGACTGGATTCATGGTTCCTTGGGGGTGTGGCGGGGGAGGTTGGAGGAAATTGGGGAGCTAATAACGATGAGTACGAGAACCAAGAAGTGTTCTAAACGTGCTGTGGTGATGACTGTACAACTTTTCTTGATGTGACTGAGCTATGGAATCTGAGCGAATTACATACCAATAAAACTGCTCTAAAAACAAGGTAAGGTGTCATCATAATGGACTCAGACAGTTCCTGTCAATGACATGTTTGTCCCTCCTGGGGAGTGGGTGGGGGTGTAGTGATGTGTGTGTGCAATGCTGTACTGACTCCAGTGCTCCCCCACCCCACTCTCCCCTCCTAGCGTGAAGGGAGGTGGCAGCTGAAGGGGACTGGTGATTTTGGAGAGGAAGGTGCCCACCGCAGAGCTGCGCCCAGCCCGCACTCACCCCAGTCTGCCAGCCAGCGGAGAAGTTCGTACAGGTGCTTCTCTTTCATTCTGGCACCTTTGGAGAAGGAGGCAATCTTCTCCAGCAAGACGAATCTGTTCTTGCCCCTTTGTTCCGTCTGCTGGGATTTTGCCTTTTCTTTTAAATCGTATCCCAGTTCCTCCTGGAAGCGGCTGATGACACAGTTGACATTGTCCAAGATGCCGGAGAGCTGGGTGGACATGTCCTACGTGGGAAGCAGCAGCAGGTAGTAGCATTGAGGGGCGTGTGACATGGTCAGATGCCACTTGCTGGTGGGGGGGGCGGTGTGGTGACCTAAGACAAGTCATTTGGCCTGTTGGGGCCTCTTATTTGTCAGTGGGGACCACCATCATAGCATCTATGTCACAGGCTTTTCCTAAAGATGTTGTGGGTGAATATTTGTGACGCCATTAGACTAGGGCTTGGCACCCAGCCTAAGTTAGGATGCCTGTTATCATTCTCAGTGTTATGTTTGGGAAAGAAATATTAAAAATCGACCACAGGCCTTTCTTCAGAATTGCAGGACTTGCTAGCAACTTCTGAACAGACGGTTGGGGAAATGTGGGCCCCAGAAACCCACAGGATCAGAGGTGGGAATAAAAAATGCCCCAGAGGCTCAGGTGGTGGCACGGTAGTGACACCGTGGGCTGCAGACCGAGAGGTTTGCCGTTTGAAACCACCAGCTGCTCTGAGAGAGGAAGACGAGGGTTTCTACTCCTGGAAAGACTGGCCGTCTCAGAAGCCAACTAGGCGCAGTCCCACCCTGTCCGTAGTGTCTGAGTCGACTCAATGGCAGTGAGTTTGTTTGTTCGGCCAGAGGCTCAAGTACTGGGCACATCAAGCCTGCAGCCCACCCCACGGTGCCCTGGAGTTCTAGGGCTCAGCTTGGAGGACCCCACACAGGTGGAGAGGTAAGTGTGCTGGGTCCCTCCTCCTCCCCTGCTGGGACCACTGCTATGCGCCCAGAGCTTCCTGTCCTCTTCCTGTGATCTGTTCCCTTCTGGGTCCCAGCCCTGCCCCAGGGCTGTGTCATGACCCCAGCTCAGCCCTGCACCCCTGGACAGACTTGAGTCTAGGAGAGCGGGGGGAGTATCTGCAAACCCAAGTTGCCAAGTATGCCTGTGTGGGCCCAGGCTGGCATCCTGCCCCGACCCAGGATGAGACCCCAGCAGAAGGGTGCCTCCCTCATCTCAGTAACTACCTCCTGAGTCCGAGTCAGCTGGGCAGCCTCAATCCTCGAGATGATGGCTTTCACCGACTCGGGGGTCACCAGCTGTGGAGAGTCCTCCTCGTCCATCGTGGGCCACTCTGACAGTCACAGAGATACCCTGTATCTGGGGCACACAGGCCTGGACACGTGATGTTGGTTGCTCTGGGGTTAGGGGCCCCCAGGTGCCTGCTGGGCACCCTTTGCCTCGCCACAGCTCCTCCCGTAACTGCCAGACACCAGGTTCCAACGGACTCTCCTGGCCCTAGTGACATCATTTGTTTAGTTGGAAGAATGTTCCAACTTTGTTTATGATCTGTCTGGTTGTCTAGTTTGTACTGTCACCTGATGTATATTAACCTGACTTGACTTCTTTTAAGAAAAAAAAACCACACTAAATGTTATGCGCCGAAATTAAAGAATAATGGCTGAAAATAGGAAAAGGCAATCAGAAATTCTTTTTCCCAAGAGAACTTACTGTTTAAAAAGTGTTTGTTTGAAATGGGTGCATAAGGAAATGTGAAGAAAGCTGATGGTGCCCGGCTATCAAAAGATATAGCACCTGGGGTCTTCCAAAGCTTGAAGATAAACAAGCGGCCATCTAGCTCAGAAGCAACAAAGCCCACATGGAAGAAGCACACCAACCTGTGCGATCATGAGATGTCGATGGGCTCAGGTATCAGGCATCTAAGACACCAACAAAACCATACCCAATGTGAATGGAGGGGGGGGGCGGGCGGTGCATGGAGTGGAGACCCAATGTCCACCTGTAGACCATTGGACAGCCCCTCACAGAGGGGACACAGAGAAGAGATGAGCCAGTCAGGGTGCAGTACAGCACTGATGAAACACACAACTCTCCTCTAGTTCTTTGGTGCTTCCTTCCCCCCTCTATCATGATCCCAATTCTACCTTACAAATCAGATTAGACCAGAGCATGCACACTGCTACAGATAAGAACATGCAACACAGAGAATCCAAGATAGATTAACCCCTTAGGGTCAACAATGAGAGTAGAGATACCAGGAGGATAAGGGGAAGGTG